TCATGGGGAAAAAAAGATGTATATTTAAATCCAAATAGATCAATGACATTAAATGTAAATGAACTAAATACTTTGTTTAAGAGCCAGAGATTTCCAGTTTCTCCAGCAATTGTGTGCACATACAGACACATACACAAACTAATAGTTAAAAACACAAAATTGATCATACCCTACCTGCTGAAAAACAACTTATAATGTCTTGGTGGTTGTTTTCCACATTATCTCAGACAGATTTGTCTCTTTGATATTTTTTATTAGCTGCTTTTCTTTTCCTTTTTTTTTTTTTTTTTTTTTTTTTTTTTTTTTTTGGTGGAACCGGGGATTGAACTCAGGCCCTTGCACTTGCCAGGCAAGCACTTATTCTACTGAGCCATCTCTCCGGCCTTTTATTAGCTGCTTGGTATGCCATTGTGCCATTTACTATAAATGACCATTCCTCTTTTGGCATTTAAATTGTTCACAGAAAAAGGTTCAGTGGCTGTCATTGTGAATAACATTCATACATTTTAATATCTTCATTTTGCAAACAAGAAGACCAGTTCTGCTATCATTCCAATGATGAAAATATTTGGCTGGGTAATAAGTATAAGGGCATGACTGGGGAGACAATTTGAGGCACAATTTTGGATAGAGAGTGCCTGGTATGCCTCAGTTACGTCCAGGGTCATATGCTGAATGGTGGGCACACAGTGTTTGTTAAGTAGAATGAATGAACACTGTAGACACTGGTCAGTGTAGATGTGTGTGGGACCTGTGCTGCCCTCATCTGGAACAGGACTTCTCAACATAGTGCTATTGACTTCTAGGAGCAGATAAGGCTTTGTTGTGTGTAGACAGGGAGAGGGAGGTCATCCTGTATATTACAAAATGTTGAACAGCACACCTGTCCTCACTCACTATATGCTGCCAGCATAATTCCAGTAGCATCTTAAAACATCTCTAGTAGTAGCTAAAACATCCCCAGAAATTGTCAAATATCCCCTGGAGAAATTAACTTCAGCTGAGAACCACTGACCATGATATAGATTGACTGTACAAGGGTTGTTCCTAAAAATAACTAACTCAGCCAAGAGTGGCAGCACACCTTTGTGTCCCAGCATGGGGGGGGGGGTAGGGCTGGAGTTGGGGAGGGGTGGTGTTTGAGGCAGGAGGATTGCAAGTTCAAGTCTAGCCTCTGGGCAACTTGAGACTTAGGAAGATGGTCTCTCTTGGGTAGGAGGGTCTAGTACCTAGATTGCTAAGTAGGACACTGGCATTTTGGAACCCGGTGCCCTGTGGATATTTTCTATAAGCGAAGTCTGCAATTTTGAGGCTGCGAAGGTTGGAGTCCCCTGGTTCTTCCCCCCCCCCTTCTTGTGATGCCTTCAGGCTATCTTTTCTATAGCTTTGTTCCAAAGCACTTGGTTTTTTAATGTTAATGTTTTCAGCAATTAGGTTCTCTGACCCATCTTTACAGGCCACAACTCTACTTGGAGCTTCCTTTCTGGCCAGACTCAAAATATTTTAAATCATGAGTCTCAAGGTACAACTGGCTAAAAGTCCCCAACAGTAGCCATGCCACTGCTTCAACATTAGATTGCCTTGAAATTTCTTCCGCCAGATTAATTAGTCCCCTCCCTGCCCTTAATCTCAGTTTCCGGCAATATCTCGGGGCATAAACAAAATGCAGACCAATATTCTGCTAAGCATAACACATGTCCTGGAGCTTAACAGCCAATATAGTTCCTTTTCCAAACCCAAACTTCCCACGCCTGATTTTTACTGGCTGCACTTCTATCAGCATCTGTTCTTCTGCATTCCAACCAGGGTCTCCCATCTGTCTCGGCCTACAGCATCCTAGGGCTGCATTTCCAGCTGGCGTCTCCAATGCTTTTTGAACTCCTCCTATAAGCACGATCCAAAGGATTCTGATGCATGTGGTCAGGTAGCGCCACAGCAACAACCCCGCTGCTTTGGTAATGAAATCTGTCTTAGTTACTGTCTCATTGTTGAAGCCCAATACCCAACTCCTTCAATTTAAAGGAGGAAAGGTTTATTTTTGGCTCATAGTTGGCAGACACTTAGTCCACTGTCATCTGGTGCCAGGGCAGGGTGGCACGGCAGAAGGGGGTGGCAGAGCAGGTAGCACTCATGGCAGCATAGGCAAAAGCACTGCCATCAAGGGCGGAGGAGGAGGAACCTGCTTGTGTACCTTCTAGCCACAATCCCGTGACCCACCGGGCTTCCCTTCCTAGCCTCATGCCCAGCTATAAGGCCATCAGTGGCCTAGTCCAGTATCACACAGCCACAACCCAGCCACCTCTCTCAAGCCCCATTATCCACACAGGAGGCTTTAGGGAGATGCCTAGATATATGCCACAGAATTCTCCAAAAGCATACTCTCCACGACATGTCTTTTAACCAAGCTCTTAGCTCAGCAATGGACCAATCCGCCAAGGAGTGTAGTGCCCCCATGAGCCAGGTACCTTCCAAAAGAACTACCTCTGAACACATGAGATGCCCGGGAACATCCTAGATCTAATCCACAACACAGTTCCTTTAGAATGGATATGTTAGGCCAGATGCGGCGGTGCATGACTGTAATCCCAGCTCTCAGGAGACTGAGCCAGGAGGTTTGCTGCAAGTACAAGGTCAACCTGAACTACACAGCAAAACCCTGTCTCAAAAAAATCAATATGTTATCTTGGAAAGATGATACGTACCTGTAGTCCCAGATACTTGGGAGGCTGAGACAGGAGGATTGCCTAAGCCCAGGAGTTTGAGACAAGTGTAGGTAATATAGAGAAATCCCTATGTAGCTAAGTAAGAAAGAAATAAAATAAATACATTAATGTGCATTATTAATAGTTTGGTTCTTATGGTTTGAAGATTATAACTTCCAGCATACAGTAAGTCTCTGACTTATGAAAAGTTCCATTCTAGAAGAATGTTCCTAAGTTGGAAAGTCACACGGAGTCTTACATACATACAGTGTAAAGCATAAAAAACATACATACAAATATACTATAAACTAGTTTTACTTTTACCTTACAGTGGCAGTGCAGTACAGTACAATTATAAAGTACAGTAAGTCCTTGACTTACAAGTGAGAATGTGCAAGATCCATTCGTATCTGTGAAAGCTGGCAACTCAAATGTTTATAAGTTGGGGGCTTACTGTATTTTTATAAATGTTTTTGTTTTAATTTATTGAGTATGAGGTCTCACCATGCAACTCAGACTCATAGTGATCCTCCTGTCTCAGCCTCCTCAGCGCTGGAATTATAGGCATGAACCACCACTCCTGGTTTCCGGGCCAGCATGGCACACAGCACCAGGGATTGAGCTTGGGTGCTTGCACTTTCCAGGAAGGCGCTTAGACCACTAAGCTATCTCTCCATCCCTGTATTGTTAATACTAACAATCATTAATATTGTTAAAAAATAAATGACACATTCTCTACATGCACTATTATTTCTAATAGTCTGGCTTTGATTTGCTTTCGTAGTTAAGTCTCTTAGCATTCCAGGTATGGAAGAAAAGCTTGTCAAATGAAAACAATGCCCCATAGATCATGGAGGGAGCTACATCATCAAAGCAAGCTTCCAATTCAGGAAATGAGTGTTTTATACATTCAGCAAAGTCATCTATTAAGACTTGTGCAGTAACAAGTATGCTTTCCTTTTATAAACTAAGGGAAAGCATTACAAGTTTGTTGTCTGACAAACCAGTTTTAGGAAAGACTGTTTACAGAAAGGAAATACCTGGAATCTGATCTAAAAACTCTTGGAAAGACGAGACCACTGTTCTGAAGAAATGCAGCCTGGCGCCGGCAGAGGGCAGTGTTGCACAGTGGTTGGGTGCCCTCTCCCCTCGCAGGCAGCAAAGAGGACAGTTCAGCTTGCCGCAGCAAGGACCCAGGGCTCTCTCCAGTGTGTGTGCGCAGTAACTTATTCATAGGAAAATGGCTCCCGTGAGGATGGTGGCCAGGCACTCTCCATGTTGAGCCTAGAATCAGAGCCTGGGTTTGTAAACTGTTAAAACCTCATTCCCCCTTAAGAATTGAATTTGGGATAGAAATTGGAGATTGACATTATGAGGCCTGAATTACCCATAAAGTTTTTGGTTTTTTCTCCTTTGAAATGAAAACAGTAGTGAAATCTCAACAAGGTCTAAGTTCAGGAGGCAGCAGAACAAAGTGGCTGAGAGCCCCACCTCTGGAGTGCCACTCAGCTGCTCCAGGTTGGAGACCTCTCCAGACCTCAGTTTCCCGGCTGCCAGACAGGAGCAGCTGCCACCCTGCTGGTGGGCGGCTGTGCAGATGAATGAAACGGGCAGGACAGCTGCTGAGCATAGGGATGGCCTTCAGAAAGCACTCAGTAATAACAGTGATGATAGCCAGCAAAGGCCCTGGTGCTGAGCTGGCCTTCGTCTGGCATGACTCTTTAGCATGCCATTCATGCCCAAAGAGGAAGAATCTGTGGTGAAAAATCAAGCTGCATGTTTCAGGGTTGTAAGTTTCACAAGCCCAGGAGTTAGAAGCAGAATCAGTGGGGAATGCGGATGTGTTCAGCGATAGAACTGGGCTCCTTGACGGGGCTCACCCTTGCCTTCCAGGCTCAGGACCCCCGTGTTGTTGACAATAGGGTCTCTAAGTCAGACAGTGTGTATGGCTGTGTGATGTGACCTCTAGCCTCAGAAACACCCGCCTGCCTCAGATTTAGAGCTGATGACATTCCCCATTACAGGATCCTCTCTGAATGGAAAGGGTGGCAATCAGCTAGTCAGGAAAAAGTGGGCAAGTTGAACAAATTGCTTGGAGCAAGACCCCTCCCTCCTGCCTTTGCAAGGAAAAGAAACTGTGACTCGAGTGAGGGGCACAGAGACAGCTTGGAAGACATACTTGTCCTTTCACCTGGAGGTTGTCCAGCCCTCAAATAGCTTGTGGGTCCAGTCCAAAAATAAGATCACATGAGAGAATAAGCACGCAAGTATTTGTCCTTGAGCTTCCTGTGGGCACACTAGCATTCAGCGCCCTTGCAGGGGTCCAAGAAGGTGGCCTTGCCACCAGCTCCTCCACCCACCTCCCCAGTAGCTCAGAGCTGGGAGGCCACCTGCTACTGGGTGGTGTGGAGTGTTTCCCACAGTTCTCCCTCCCTCAGGCTCCCTTGGGTTCTGTTCACACTAGGAAGGGAGCACAAGTGAATCCAACAGCCTGGGGGATCAGGACATCGCCTCTTTTTCCTGAAGGACACTCCCTTCAGATCGTGAATGGGAACTCCCTTCCCCCTGCAGCAGCCGGCCACAGCCGTCCTGACGTCCTGACGGTCCAGTGTGAATGCTGCAGCAGCCGCCACGCCACAGCCACAAGAAAAGCGCCCCAGAGCCAAGGCAGAGGTGAGTGCATCTGTTCCTTCCAGGGGCTCGGACTGCCACAGCTGGTCAGATTCCCGCTCGGCTGCACACTTGATCGCAGCTAGATGCTCTCCCCCAGCTCCCGTGACTTCCTGCCTTTGCCCTCTGGGTCTGTAGCAGGCTTGGGGCTGTGTAATGGGTGCTGTGGTAGAAAGTTTCCTGGACTCCTTCATTCAGAGGCCAGTTTGCTCCCAGAAAGAACCAGGTTGATCTAGTTCTGAGCAGGAAAGCAGGAAGTGATTCCTACCAGGTCAATTATCTTTGCTGAGAAGACATTTACCAGGAAATCATTAGACAAATCCCATTACAGTAGAGTTAATGCTTCACTTTAAAAAGCACTGCATGAAGTAGAAAATAAAGGATGCCAGCTGATCCTTTGTTATTAGGCAAAAGGGAAAAACAAAACAAAACAAAAAAAGAAAACAATCTGCAGAGCTTCCTTTCCTTCTCTCTTCCTGGCTTCTTAGGATGCTGCTTAACAGATCCAAGAACTGCTTATTTTGGTTGAAACCAAGAGGAATAAAATCAAGGATTTGCTAAGCAGAGCTAGAGAAAAGGAGTAGAAACAAATTTTCTGGGTCAGGTAGATAGCTCAGGGTCTTAAGTGCCTGCCTGGCAAGCACAAGGTCCTGAGTTCGATCCCTGGTACCACAACACATTTTCCCTCTTGAGCTCTCTTCTAATGTGCATGCACAGGCAAGCGCATCCCCAGATGTGTGCCTACGCCGGGTACATCTGGGGTCACTGTTCCTTGCACATGGGTACTACTGTCTGACTACAGAGGACTTTTAAGCTGTGACTGCAAACATCCATGCTAGGAAAAACTCAATCAAATTCTAAGTCCTGATTCTTTTAGTGACCAGAGACCGAAACCCAGTTTAAAGAGTCTTGAGCAAAAAGAAGATTTTCTTTTTCTTTTTGGATTATGTCACTGAAAAGCCAGTTTGCATGTGGTAGGTTCAGGTAGAAGATGGTGGCATTTGAGGCGGTCCCTCTCTGACTCTTGGCTTTGCATTCCATGTCACTCAGTCTCCAGGAAGACTTGGTATTGTGGGGGCAATGTGGCCACCAGGAGCTGGGGCTGATGGCCACCTTGCAAGTGCAGGCACTTCCAGTTCCCATGGGCTGTAGCTAGTTAGTGCTCACCTGTCATGGAAACAAGGTGGGCACAGTGTGCATTCCTGCCTTGGGGGTACAGTGATCCCCACCAAACCCACATAGACTTGACAGCAGCAAAGGCAGATTCCCCAGAGGTACTCAACATGCTGACCCAGGAAGAGGCGGACTAGGTGTAGGACAGCTGAGGTCAGTGGGTGCCATTGTGCTGCTCTTTGCCAATGGTTTAGACAAAAAGTCAAGGGTCCTCCAATGCAGGAACCCTTCCCTCCCTCCCATGGTCCACAGAAAATCACACGTGGCAGGAAGTGCATTGGAAAGTAAATGTTAGTGGACAGATGACAAAAAGGCCCCATGCCATGTCATGCCTAGAGACCCCACTGCGGAAGGGAATTCATCCATGCTGCCTCCGACTAGAACCTTGTCTAGCTCTTCCAGACTTTTATGCCTTCTCCCCTCTCCAAACCTCAGCAGCTGTGACTATCAGGACTGTTTTTCTTTGTTTAAATATTCTTGAAGAATTTCACTTTTCTCTGTTTTTCTTTCAACTTGAATTTTACATATGGGGTGGTAAGAATCAAGTTTTGTGGCCAACCCTCTTTGTGGTATTTAATGAGAGGTTCAATAGAAGTGAGTCCAATTAATTGAACAACAGAACACAAGCCTTCCTAAGCAAGATAAATAGCTAGATTGCTCGAGATCCTTAATTCCTTAAAAGCAACATTATAAGGTTGGGGAGATAGCTCAGTAGCATAAGCACCTGCCCAGCAAGCGCAAGGTCCAGAGTTTGATCCCTAGTACTACATGCCAGGCCAGCCCCTGAACCGGCATGGTGATGCATGCCTTTAATTCCAGCACTGGGGAGGCTGAAACAAGGGGATCACTAGAGTCCAGTTGCATAGTGAGACCTGTAATCATCATAATCATCATAATCATCATCATCATCATCATCATCATCAAGGCAACACTGGCTCCGAGGGCATCTGAGTCAAAGGGATGGCAAGTACAAGCCACTATGGGCAACTCAGACAGTCTTAAAGTAAAGTGAAAAGGGCTGGAGATGTAGCTCAGCTCTCTGTAGGTTTAAGCCTCAAACAACAAAAAAAGTGGTATAATAACCAAATCAAACATGGATTGAGCTCAGAATACACACGGGAGCCTTATAGGCATCATCTCACATGATTCTCACAATGAACCTACCAGGAAAGTATTGTGAATATTTCACTTACTGGGTGCAGAACCTGAGTTTAAAGTAATTCACAGGTCCTAGGCCACGGAAGAAGTCAGTGACAATGTTGGGGTCAGAGCCCAGGCCCACCTACCATCTCGTTTGCTATTCCATTCATAATTCACATGCTAATCAGCACAACTTCCTACTACCTAATTTTAAAAAGCCTCTTCTGCCGGGGAGGTCCCCAGCATCTCTCTGGGGGGCAGTCCTTGCTAGATTCTACCCATGAGCGAGGAGGAGCCGTATCCCTCCCCAGAACCATCAAGCACATCAGTCAGGGATTTTACAAAAGGAGCTCTACAAAGAGCAAGGTGCTTTTCAATTTAAAGGGTATACAGTGATATTTGGGGAACTGTGTGGGCTTTAGCATTTAAACGTGCTCCCTGGGCCACTAGTCATGAGGCACGACCATGCCCTCTTTCCTGCCTGTGCCCAGGCAGACTGTGCTAGGGGTTCTCAGATGTGGCTGACAGGATTTAGTAGGCAACCAAATTCTTATCTCAAAGAAAACTAAAATCTTTTAAAATGCTGAGTTTTTTATACCGCCTGTGTCTGCAAGTCACAGCCCCAGGCCTCCTGGCTGGAACCGTCACCTGCATGCTAGGGAAACTCTTTGTCTGGGTGTGTCTTGTTTATTTGATGCACACAAATTTATTCCTATGCTTTAAATCTTCATAAGAGTGGATCCCACTTGACTTCTGTCATTTCACTTACCTTCCCAATATCTTCAACCCAGGCTCAACGAGACTGAGTTTTGACCCGAGATCACAAGCAGGTCCCCGAGGGGAGACGGACGTGCACTGAGGTTGAGGCTCAAGCCTGCTCATTCTCCCCCAAGGTTATGACATGCATAGTAGAACTCTTCGGCTAAGCCTTGAGAGAATAATTACCCCAGACCTAAAAAAAATGGAAGCATCTGTCCACACGAAGACTTGAACCTGAGCAGGATTATTTATAATAACTAAACAGAGGAAATGATTCAAATATCTATCAGCTGATGAATGGATCAATAAGATGTGCTATAGCATACAATGAAATATTATTCAGAAATAATAAGGAAAGAAGTTTTGATACACGCTACCACACAGATGGGCTTTAAAGAGGATATACAGAGAAAAACACCTCATACTGTGTGATTCTATCTGCACGAAATGCTCATAACAAGGAAATCTATGGAGACCAGAAGTAGATTAGTGGCTGCCTGGATCTCGCAGGAGCAAGGAATGGGAGACAGCTGCTCGAGGGTATTATGGGGTTTCCTTCTAAATAGTCCAAAATGATAGTGGTGAAGGTTTCTCAGCTTTGTAATGTACTAAAACGACTGAACTGTACATTTTTAATGGGTGAATTGTATGGTATATAATTGTATCTTGATAATTGTTTACAAACTCAAGCCACTACTAGTGGAACCACTGACCTAGTAGCAAGGCTCTGCCAAAGAATGTGGTCTCTGTCTGATCTGATAAGTCTCTTTTTGTCCCAGAGAGTTTGCAGGTTTGCCACTCCCATAATTCCACTGGAAAGACTGCCGATGGAAAACATAGGCTCCACAGATTTTTCCCTTGAGTCTAACCCAGGGAGATTGCTCCCCTTTTTTGCATAGAATATTTAACATTTTATGGAATTATTCTTAGTATCTTGCTTCATAAAGTAATCCCCATTTAAAGATGATAAATCTCATTAAGTAATGTTTTGCTACAATGCTTTTCTTTAGCACTTTCCTCTAAGGTTTCCCTTTTTACATTTAAGCTTCTAATTCATCAGGAATTTAAACAATAAACTTGGATAAAGATTGATTTTATTTGTCTCTCCAAGCAGCAAGCTAATTATCAACCAAGGGCTGGAGCATCTTGTAACTTCCCCAAATGAGATGTAAGAAAGTATGTGTACTTGCACATGAGCGCCTGTGTACACACATTATTTTTTCTGGGGAATAGGGTTAGAAATCTGTTTTATAGCCCGCCCAGGGCCCAGGTTATGTGCAACCTCCGTGCACGGAGGTCAAATCCTGAACTGACAGCACAGGTGCGGAGGCACATGGGGAAAGTGACTGCTCCTAGGGAAGTCGTGAGTCCTCTACCACATAAGAGCCACACTATATTTTGGGGATGAGTATCTGCTGAGGCAAAGGACAGGGTAGCTGTCCCAGGCTCCCACTTGGGTCTGTGAAGCTTTAGTGTGCTAATAACCAGCTCTCAGATCCATGACAAACTGTTCTGACTGATAAGATTTGAGATCTTCTTGTCACAAAGACTCTGCAGAGGGTTGCAGCCCAACATGAGAGAATAACTAATGAACTGAGAAGCCCAGGTGGCAGGTCCACATGTGCAGCCTCGCACTCATGTAATGAATATGTATACAACACTGGCCTCACAGTCCACACAGTGAGTCACCAAGTGCCAGCCCTGGACCAGCTGCACCCACCTGTGCGTTGAAAAGACAAATTCTAATCCAGTAGGCCCTCCGAGACAGGGGAATCCAAAACTCAGCAACATGTAGTTTGACAAACACTTAAGGTGACTGTATATGGATTCAAGTTTGTGAACCACGAGAGGAGATGACGATGAAGTGACAAAAACCCTGCTCCTGGAGTTCCATGTCAGTGTGTGTGTCAGGAGATACAGAAAGCATTAAGTTCTGTGAAGAAAGGAGAACAGGGGAGGAAGGACTAGGAGGAATGGCTGGTGTAAAACACGTGGTCTGGGAGGAGATGGCCTAAGCTGACACCAGATGGACAACCAAGAGCCAGCCATGAACGTGTCAAGGAACAGAAAGCATATGTATATGTTTTGTGGAGCAGAGACAAGTGCAAAGGCCCTGAGGTAGAGCCAAGTCTGGCATACAAAGAGCAGTATGCCAAGCAGAGAAGGCAGGGAGGGGTGAAGGAGAGTGAACTTGGGGAGAAGCAGGCAGTGCTGGCGCGCTTAGTACCTGCTCTTCGTGCACTGGGAGGGCACTGGACAATTGTGAGCTAGTAGAGATGTGATGTGATTTACTATTTAGCAAGAGCCTTCTGGCTACAGGGGCAAAGACAGGAGCAGAGGGAGCAGTGAGAAGTACACTGCAGCGACCTAGGCTGGAGTGGACTAGACCACTGTGCACAGATCTATTCTTCAGTGAAAAACAAACAATAATGTGCATAGTAGACTGTTTTTAAACATATTTCCATCCAGCCATATAAAGACATTTTTTCTCCGAAAAGATGCCAGTCCCATCCCCCCACACACATGAGCTAGTGGTGGTTATCTCTGGGAAAAAAAAGATGAGGATCACTTTACACCTTTTTGTACATTGTATTATTTAGTTAGTTTTAGTACTGGGAATCAAACTCAGGACCTTCAGCTTGCCAGGCAGGTGGTTCTGGCACTGAGCTCCAGCCCCGGCACGTTGCACATTGTAATCATGTGCATGAGGTGCTGTTACTTAAAATATTCAAAATACAATTTAAAAACTAGAACCCAGGAAAATAGAATAGGCCATGGCTGACCGGCACCAGAGGGGAAGCAGCCCACCTTTCACGAGCAGGAACCTTTTCAAGCAGGCTGCCCTGAAGTGTCAGAGAGCCTGCTGGCAACTGGGAACAGCTCACGTTCTTGGGTCGGCGTGAGGTGCCTCCTTTTTGGAAGCTGCTGGACCTAGTTTCGGCCCGGTGGCTCTGCTGGTGTGCACACTGCTCTCAGGTCTCCTTGGGCAACAAATGCAATGTCCTGGGACTGTCAGCTGTATTTCCCAGGATGGTCCGTCCACCTGGCACCTGGCGGGCGGGGAGGCCTTGCTGCAACTGCTTGATTGGTTGTAAACAGAGGGAAAGTCTCAGCTGGGAGAAGAAAGTGGCAAGCCACATCTGATTTTTCCTGTCAGCTGATTAGGATTTGTAGTGCCTGAGCAAGGTCAAACAAGATTAGGAAGAAAATGCCGTGTGTCTGGTATGCATTTCACATAACTGTGTCCCTCATGTAAACAGGATGAAAGGGGGAAACTTTTAAAGCACATACCAAATGGCAGGCTCAGGATTCTAGGACAAGGTGCCAGGGCTTATGTTATTCCAGGAGTGGAAGAAAATGTATTTATGGGTGGGTGGCATTTTGCATCCTCTGAATCTCTGCCTCGCTGCTTCTTTCCTGCTGCTTAGGTTAAAAAGTGAGTTTTATGTCTGATTTTTGCAAGCACCGAGCACCAAATAAATAAAACCACAGAAAAAAGCCACATTCCACCTTTATCATCCTTCTAGCTCTCCTGTGGTAGGTGTGGGGCTACCTTCTGTAATAACAACTGCCTAAGTGTACTCATGGAGCCCTTGTCTCTGGACACGGAGGGGAATCTCATGTCTGGCACCAGCCCCAACATTTTAGATATGAAGGACTCTGGGCAGCCTCCCGGCTCTTTGGGTAAGCCGACTAGGATTCCTCTTGGTCCTCAAAATCTGTAATTTTCTTTCTCTCTCAGACCACCTCTCTATAGTACAGCTGTGTACTACGTTTTATCAGGACAGAAATGGCTTTTGAAGTGGTGTCATAAGTTTGGGAAAGGTATGATTTCCGCTGCATACGCTGTATAGGGTCTAGTAGATTGGAGGTGCTTAATAAGTGGTTTCAACAGCTATTATTTCCACAGACTATTTCCTGGCATAAAGCTAAGAGCTATTCTGAGGCCAGACTTTTCCAGTAGGTAATCTCAGAGTCCCTTCCCACTCTAAATAACAGTGGGGCCAAAAAGCATCAAATCGTCATGGCTTAGGTCTTAAAAAATATCCGTGTATATTTAAAAGATAAATCTAGATACTTGACATGGAAGTTGAGATAAATATAGAGACTGAGAGATGTTTTAAATTTTTTTTTTTTAATTCAGCATGCAGGGAAGTATGTGACTAAATGTCTTAAGGAATTGAGAACTCATTATTTCTCAGTATTTGAATTATAACTCAATATAGAGAAATTAGTGTAAGTCAGTAGTTAAAAGCTCTGTGTGTGTGTGTGTGTGTGTGTGTGTGTGTGTGTGTGTGTGTGTAGGAATGATTCCCAACTGGATATAGCGGAGAAATGAGATTATAGTTATCTTTGTACTCATGGTGTTCAGGGTGCTTGGACGCATGGGATTATCACACCTTACGCTGCTCTGAGTCTGCGGGGATGACGGGAGTAGGGACGTCTTGCTGATCTCCTTCAGGAAAGAATGAACCTGGGCGCTACGGAGCCGAGTCGCCCAGGAGTGGCCGCTGGCCCCATGTGGTCAGGTCCGAGGGTGTCAACCTGCAGTGAAGAGACCCTTGGGCGTCCATACCTCAGTTCCCAGTCACAGGGATGAGCTCTCCCCGACTTCTCCCTGCTCCAGGTACAGGGATGGTCCAGGGTGCTTCATGTGGAGAAAGGAGTTCACCTCTACCTTCATTGTACCCAAGCAACAGAAGGAAAGGAAGATGGCAAGAAAGAAACCTAGCTCTTCCAGGTCCCTCTGTCTCTGTTTCTGAATCATCAGGTAGGAAGGCTTGTGGGTGTACACGTGAGTGTGAACACACACTTGCCACTCACTCATGCCTTTGAGACTACATAAGTGGCTACATAAGGAGGAGGGACTCTGACAGTTATAGGAAACTATCTGTTATGTTTCCATTTAGTCTCTTCAAAGACACCCCTACCTTTGTGCCCCACCTTTTAGCCAGAGTTATTTGTTCGCCTTCCCTCCTTCTCCATCCCCCTTTACCTCCCCCATCCTGACAGTGGTGTGAGGACCAAGCCTAAGGCCCCTTGAAGAAATTACAGCTTTTGAACTGGGGATCCCCGAAGGACTCACCTAGTCCCAAGGAGCCAGGCTTGTGCAGTGATGAGGAATGGTATGCGCTCTCCACAGCCCCTTCCAGGCCCTAACCTGGATGGCCATTACCCTGACTGGGTTTTTTTGTTTTGTTTTGTTTTTTTGCGGAACAAAGGATTGAATCTGTCTGGCTTTTTAAAATGCCCTTGGCTCTAGGAATAGTGCAGACAGACAGACAGCCACACTGCCACACAGAGACACCTACAGACATCTGGCAGGGATGCCAGATGACAGAACTGAAAAGGGCTCCCTTTCATCCAGCAGCCTTCTGATTCCAGGGGAGTGTCTGCGAGCCACGACCTGCTGTTTCCCTGGTGACTGAGGCCTCAAAATAAACAGGATTCTTCTCAGACGGGCTAGTAGTCCACTGGGCTCAGGCTTTCTGCCCCAAGACAAACCATGGTAAAATAACACCCAGGATAGTTGTTCTGTCTGCCATCTCCGTCTCTCCGTCCAGGCCAAAGGCTCTGGGTTCCTGGGCCTGTGGCCTGGAATTGGGGGTACACAGAGTTCTGTATATCCTGTGGCGGCGGGGGTTGGGGGGCATGCAGTAAAGCAAGTCCCCTAGCTGATGAGCTGACGAACAGGGGCAGAGACAGACCCAGAGGCCGACACTCCCGGCTCTCCTCGCTGCTTCCCACACAGCCCTCCGGGACTGGTAGCAGCTCTGTGGCATGGTGTCTGGAGACGAGCCAGCAACCTGATGTGCATGCCAAGGCCCGTCCCTCTCCCCACAGAGCCGCAGTAACCCAGAGGCTCAGAGAGCCGGCTTGGGGCTGCTGGGAAGCAGCCACAGCAAGGTGAGGGGGACAGACGGAGCCCAGCAGAGCGCAGCAAGTGGATGCAGTTTCCTCTGGGACAGCTTTTCAGGTAAGAATCAGGGGGTCTGCTCTGCTGTTTTTATTGAGAGCTGAGGGTGTGGGTCTGGGTGAAAATAGGAGGCTACTGGGAGAGGCAAGTAAAGAAGGGACATTAAGGCTGAGAAGTGTGTTAAGCAGATAGCATGGAGCTGCCAGCCAGCTCCCCCACCCACCAGAAACTCCCTGGTCGCTCACACCCCCTGCGGGGTGAGTGGCCCCTGACCCCTGTGTGGGGGAAGGGCTTGCTAATGGCACAGTCTTGCGAAAATAGCACTTCCAGTGTAGACACTGCAAAAGCAATCATGCACCTTCTGCCCCTGTATCTTCCTGCCCCCAGGGCCAAGAGGGAGCTACAGTGTTCCCACTTACTGCACAGCTGGATGCAGCCCTGCAGTCCTGCAGGCAGGCAGTGTGGAAGCCGCAGGCTGTGGGTACCTTGTGTCTGGCTGACAGTATCTTGCTGTGTCACACTCCCGCTCCCAGGGAAGGCTGAACATCCAATGCCTTGAGAGACCAGTCCACCCGGTGGGCAGCTTGGATCTTAGGAAGTGGTCACTATGATGTCAGGCTGAATAATAGGATTGGCTGCGGGTGTGAGCTCTGGGTTTTGAGAGGCTGGTATTCTGCTATCCTTCCCCTGGGCCTCCTGGTTACTTCTCTCCTCTTGTCTGGTCAGTCATCTCTGACTATCTGATGCTCATTTTGAACCCTTACACTCCAAGAAAGGAGGAGCCGGCATGGCTGACCACTGGGCAAACACTACCTACGCCCTTCCTGCTCTTGTGTACCAGAAATGTGCAGGGCTATGACAGATGTACTTGGGAAATTCAAGCTTCTAGGTGCTGGGATGGGAATCTCAGGCATTTGATCAAGTACCATTTTCCAGAGCCCACACCTCCTACCTCAGCCCTGGAGCTCCTGATGTCTCAGCAGAATTCCAGCACTCTGAGCTTTCCCTGGCTGCTCTACAGGCACCTCCCCTGCCCCTCCTTCCACTCCACTTTGTGCCCAGCACTTTCCCTTTCATTCTCCACAGGGATGCGATGTTTGTGGTTTAGCTTTCTAAGCCCCAGTGAGAGGAGGGCAAGAACATCCAGGCAGAGGGAGAGCAGGGCTGACTCCCTGGGGCTCTGCATAGGGATGAGCCAGCCTAGCAGTAACAAAAGGATGAAAGAAAAGAGTCTTCGTTTGGGAAGTGGTGTCCAGCCTGGGGCTGGCCAGCTGTTTACCAGAGCTGTTTGTATGAATAAGTGTGGATTTTGGTGGGGATGCTGATTCACAGCCACAATTCCCTTTTCCTCTGTTTTCTTTGTGTTGGCCACTGAGGGCTTCCTAGGAAAGTCCCCTTTTGAAACTGTATCTCTGAGGATGAGAGTACCAGTTTGCTGCTGAGGGGAGCTGGCTGGAGATGCAGGGAGAGAGAATCTGGTTATCCTTGCTGTGTTTAGTAGGGATGCATGGGTTTGCAAGTGAAGTTCTTAATATGCAGAAAGTTCAGGAAGGAAACAAACTTCCTGTAAACCACCCCCTAAATCTGTTTACACATGTCTTCCCTGGGTCCACAGAGCGTGTGAGAAAGCAGAATCTGGAGAAGTGTTTAGTTTTATAGGCGAGTAGCACCAAACTTGAAGATAAGGCTTTCTGGAGAAATGGGGAACAGATGACCACAACCTTCATCTATGCTAGCAAAGGATGATGTCCCATCCCTGGAGGGACAGCAAGGCCATCTCCATGTGGACATGCATGCTGTGGACCCTCGATAAGCCTGTAAGGAGCATGGAGCTGCCAGCCCTGCTGCGCCAGCAGCCAGGAGCCAGGCATTGTGCAGTGTGAGGCACACCCACTTCCACCTCATTAAATATACACTGCTTGGCGGAGGCAGTGCCCCTTGACTTACTTAAGCTGCTGGAAAAATAATCTATGGCCATTTGCACCACAGAAATACCCTGCTTTCAGGAAGGTAGCATCTACCAGTGGCCCACAAATTGTGGGTACCCAAGTACTGTTCCTTAGAAAGGGATTCACCAAGCAGCACCTGCTCATTACATACCCACAAGGCGACCCTTTTCAGAGAAGGGAGGGAACCTATAAGGTGGGCTGGTTGCAGAGAGAAGCCAGGCTGACAAGTTGTCCGACTTAGCCAGAAGGAGCCCAAGGTATAGGCCAAAAGCAGGTATCAGACCGGTGGCCTGAAGGGACTGAAGGTGGGGCAGGACTAGCAATTATTTTTACCCCCTGAATGATACTGTATGAGAGAAACAGCATAACGTGGTATCTAAGTGTATGGATTCTATGGCTTCAAATTCTGAATTAATAATATTTAATTATTAATCCTGTGATCTGATTCAGTTTCCTTATCTATAAAGAAGGTAAATAAGTATATACTTGGGCATGGAAAAGATCAAAGGCGTAACTACCTTAGTTCAGTGCCTGGCTTTCGGTGAATGCCCCGGGAGCAGCGGTTATCACCCTACTAAAATGTGAGCTCCACGGAGGATGCTCACAAAGTCCAAAGTGACAGTCCACGAGTGACCATTAGTGCCACCTATTGGCAGCGTGGAGGTGCTTTTTATGGCTTGGAACTTTGCATCTATGAGCATTTGGAAACTGAAGAGTTTCCATCGTGGCCACCAGGGTTTCTTGAGCCTTTCCTTTGTCTGAGCCCTAGGCCAGGCTTTTAGCTTGTCAGCCCGCCGAGCTGTTACACATGCAGGACCTGAGGCTCCGTGGGTGAGCCCTTTGCCTGTGGCCCCCCAGGTTCTAAGTGGCACAGCCAAGCTCCACACCCAGGCTGTCCGCTGAGTCTGTGCTCCTAACTGGGGTGGAGGGGTCTGTATTTGCTTCTGGGACAATGAGAGGAGTCCTAAGAGGTAGATGGAAGCCAGCAATAGAAAGTTGCAACAGATGATATGAGAAGAGCCAGGAAACTGACCAGCACTTGGAGGCTGCGGAGTGATGGCAGCACCTAGCTGGGGCAGGAGCCTGGCCTAGAGGACCGAACATCTGTAGACATGAGTACAGGCACCGAGCGACAAGGTGTGCTCTAGCTTTCCTGACCAGGGATGGTGCCCGAAAACAGGAAAGGGGGCCTGAGGACACAGAGCCCGGCACACTGCGCCTGCTGGCAGGACTCCTATACCCCTCTACCCTAAGGTCAGAGGTCACCTTGAGCTAAGCCTGAAGCTAATGCCAGGGAACCCGAGTTGTGGGGAGAGGAAGGATAGATAATCAAAAACTATGTCTTGACACAGTACAGTTTCTAGTTGTGTGAAAGATCTGACCCCTCTGAAGAGAACACATAATATGGACCATACAGAGGTGGCACTCACACCTCTCTGAGGAATGGGGTGCTGCTGACAGGCATGGGGTGTGTCCCCCCAGCGCCGTGTGGCTGTGAGCAGTGCTCACACTTGCGCCTCATCAGTGCTCCTCCAGAAACCACGCCCTGCTCCAGGGCTTTGCAAACTTCACTGTGCATAAAAATCAGGGGCTGCAGCTCGCAGTGACTCGCTGGGTTTACGAGGGACCCTCGATTCTGCCTTTCCTGGGTAGGGCCACGCGGCTCTGATGCCTGTGGTCCACAGGCCACATGAGGCAGCTCAGTCTGCCTGTCATGCTGAGTCCCTGCCCTTTATTACTGCTAAGGGGAGCATTGAGTGGTGTGGCCCAAAGCAGTGACACTTCCTACTTCTTGTCATCACTCCTTCCTGAACAACACCAACACTGCACACTGAGTGGGTGGGCATTAGACACAGTGCTGAGCCCTTCGCTCCTGCTGCTGCTTGCTCATTAACTCTCAACTACAGCCCCTGACACTATGTACTATTTTACCCATAATTTGTGAGTGAGAGAAAAGGCCGTGCTGTCAGCAAGTGTCTTGAAATTCAGCCTTAACACCTAACTAGAGCCTGACACTTAACCACTAGGCTCGTGGTGGCACGCCTGTTATTCTTCCTTTAAGACAAAAGATGTTGATGCAGAGTTGCCTTTTCTAAACTAAAACCTCAATATTCAGGTTTAATTGCAGTGTTAGCATTGGGCAGTGAGTAAGTGGTTTGGGGCTGTAGAGGGCTAATAGGTTTGCCATCCCTGCACCAGGCTATTCTGGGTGGGTTTAGTCCCTGTCTGCTCGGTCATCCTTCCCTACCCACAGGTGGGTGTCTGGCTCCCATTACCATCTTGCCTGCCTCACTCCTAGACCCCCTGTAATTTCTTCAGAAGATGATCTGTCCCTGTGATTCCCCATTTTCTCTCATCTGATGAATCACAGTGTGCTGGGGAAATGAATAGGGAGGAAGGTGTCCCAGGCTACACCCATAGGCTGACATTAACCCCCTAACCCTGAGGCTCCCAGGGCCTTATTTGGAGCTAGGGTCTCTTCAGAGATAACCGAGGCCAAAGGAGGCCACCAGGAGGGCCTCTCATCCACAGTGTCTGGTTCCTTATAAAACTGGGAATTTGGACACAGAGATGTGTATCTTTGAAGGAAGGTGATGTGGGGAGACAGGGTGAAGGCAGCCATCCTCCAACCAAGGAAAGAGGCCTCAGACAGACCCTTCCCCTCTGCCCTATGAGCCACCAAACCTACCAACACAATTTTCAAATCAAATTGGTAGGACAGTTTCAATAATTAACACATTGCATACTTTCTTCCTAGTGGTTAATTGCTATACAAGATGCGGACATGATATCCTATTTACAAACACCATTAGAACAAATCACTCTATTCATTAAGAGAATGTAACTATATATCTATCCTAGCCACTTTGAATACACAGATACCAAATGGACATTCATCGGTATCCCCTTTTTTGATAAGTTCCATCATTTAAATATTATAGGTGTGTAAACTCAGCAAAATATTCTAAAAGAGTTCAGAGGTCCATAATAATATTGGGTCTTCCACTTCACTGGCAATGTCAGAAATTGTTGACCTGAGTCCCCTACAGCTCAACATAACAGCATAGCTTTACTTCTTATACTTCGTTTTTATACTTTTCTGTTGGATGG